ATTTCTAACTTATGGTGACCCTAAGGTGAACCATCACAGGGTTTTATTGGCAAGATTTGTTTGTGGGGGGTTGCCTTTGCCTTATTCTGATGCTGGCAGAGTGTGATTTGCCCAAGGCCACCCAGTAGGTTTCCATGGCCAAGCAGGGATTCAAAACCTGTTCTCCCATAACCCTAGTCCAACACTCAGACTACTATACTACATTGCCCCCCCACACATAGTGCTGGATGCTATGGTGACTGCAAGTACAAGGGGTAAGAGGCATATTTTCCTAATATTTTACACACACACACTTGCAGATTTTTGAGGCATATAAGTGGACACATGTCATCATTGACCAGAGTTTGGAGTCTTCCCCCCCCCCCATTACAATATTCAGAATTCTTCAGGCAGAATAGCCAGCAGCCAGATTGGCTGGGGATTCTAGAAACTGTAGTCTAAAAAGTTCCAAGTTCTGCTGTTCAGTCAAGAAAGTAAAACTCACTTTCTCTCCTATAACATGGAGCACTCGGTCAGTAACCACTCACTGCTCTCTTCAGTTCTTCCGTTCTTGTCCATTTTCTAATGTAGTTCCAGTAGGGTATGTTGCCACTTTTTAAAACAGCTTTCCTCCCAGAAACAGTAAAGTCATTATGGAGATGATCAGATCTAGCTACCCAGTAGGGCTTGTTCCCACTGACATTTAAAACTGGTTTGCGATTCACTTTTGCTCCAAGTTAGTGAATTGATTCCACTTGAGGTGTTGTTCCCACTGTGAAAGTGGATCTTTTCATCATTTCATGGATTCACTTCTTTTTTGACCCCACTGTAGTTCTTCCCACTGGTATTTGCACTGCTAGATGATGCAGGCTCAGAATCTATCGTGATCAATCCGTCCCTTTTTTTTTTTTTTTTTTAATGTCAGTCATCCAATTCACATCTTAGCATCATTGGTAATGCAGCCATGTGTTATTCCGGTGACACAGAATCCCTGTTAGGAGAGCCCTTGCTCACTGTAGAGTTCTACAGGACAACCAAAAATTACATATTCTATCACAACATTTAAAAAAGAACCACAGATCCCCCTCCTAAAGAAAACCACACCACACACAGAAATAGAGCTTTTGACACACACTGAAGAAATTATCATGACCAGATTCACAGGAATCGATCAGTGTAAAAGCAAAAACTAGAGCCACCACACACGTGCGGGTAAAATGCAGTGCTCAAACAAAAATGGCAGATTTCAAGCAACCAGAGGCTGGATGGGTGACACCCCTCAGCCACCCCTCTGCCATTGTCCCTCCCCTCCAGTAAAAATGTGATTCACATCCGAACGTCGTTCCCACTTCCTGAACACATTTCAGAATCAATTCTTTTCAAAAGAACCACCAAAAAACTAATGTCAGGGAAGACCAAGTTTTTTGTGTTTGCCTCGCTTCATTGTGACTGAAACTGAGCGCTGTAGGATCAGAACTGGCTTCAAGTGGGAATGATGGGCATATAATCCAATCAGCAATTTGCTTTAAATCATAGTGGTAATGAGTCCATAATAACGTGTTAAAAGGCCTTTGCTCCAAATAGTCTTATGTAATGGCATAATTTATTCTATAGTTGTGCACTGCCTTGAGACCCAGTTCTAGGGAAAAGCTAGGATATAAAATCTTCATCATCATCATCATCATCATCATCATCATCATGCCAATCTCATCATTTTCATGAGAATTTCATTGTTTCCAGAAACAAGCAGGATCATTATATAGAAAGGATGACCTATTGCTCCATTCCTTTTTTTCCCCTGTATCAAAGGCAAACCCAGATGAAGAAAAACTGACACATTAATTAACCTCTCGAATTTATTGCCATTAACATGTTGCTTTGGCCAGTAGACCAAGAGGTTTTTCAAAGGATTGTATAAATGCATGGTTGACAGATTAGATCTAGGGTGGCTACATGAGAAAGATGATAAGGCTCCTGTATTTTTCAAGAGCTGTGTGGAACATGGTATTTCAGCAGGTGGTACTTGTATGACAAGATACCCCTACTGAAATTGCCTCAGGACAGCAGCCATGTCTTCTTTTTCATATGGTTGCTCTTTGTTGCTGTGTGACTTCAAGTCATTTCAGACTTACGGCAACCCTAAGAGTTTTCCCTAAGATTTGTTCGGGGGGGGTGCCTTTGCGTTCCTCTGAAGCTAAAGGGTGTGACTAGCCCAAAGTCACCTAGTGGGTTTCCATGATTGAATAGCGATTTGAACCTTTGTCTCTAGAGTCACAGCCAAACTCTCAAACCACTACACCACTTTGGCTCTGGTCATGAATATTTCTAGATGTTAGCCAGAAAACAGTCACCTGTTCTGAGAAGGGATATCTTTACAACCAAACAAGAACAGATTGCCTAGTCTTGATGTGACACATAAGGCTGGATGTGCATGGAAGCCAAAATGCTTCCATGTAGAACTTAGCATGGCAATTCTTGATAACCCTTGTTTCCTCAAGTACAAGCCTTGATGCTGTATTCTACTTCCAACAGAAAAGATTTTCTAGCAACACCAACAATGTGAGAGATCCCTGACCCATTCAGCTGTCCGCCTCCTCCCTTGGCTGTATGTGAAAGACTATTACAGTCCTGAATCTTTCCCACCACAATATTGCCATTGTAACTCATATAAGCTTTTACTTAGCTTTCAAACCAGGGGCAGCTGTTCAAGAGAGCAGCTGCTCTTAGAAAAAAATCTCAAAGAGTAGTCCAAGCTCTAGACATTGGTTGCCCTCTGCTGATTCAAAAGGATCACTGCAGCAACACAACACCACTTCTCATCCTGGTTACACACCTCTAAAAATCTTTGGGTTTTTTCAGAGTTCACTGGAAATCTAGGAATGGTTGTCTTGAAGATGTGGGAGGAGAGAGACAAGTCCAAGAGTACACCTGAGGGGGCAAGATGAAGGCATTGCCCCCAAATAAGAATTCTGCTGCCCCAATTAAATTTTCCTGCAATTCCCAAATTTCTAGTAACTTAACACTGCAGTTGAATAATTAAAAATACAGAGAAAAGAGAGTGACCAAGCAAATTTAGTAATATAATAATAATAATTTTTATTTCTTACCCGCCTCTCCTCGTGGCTCGAAGCGGGTTACAGCATAGTTAAAAAACACAATCGTTATATAAGATACACATATTAAAATGCATCTCTACCCAATATTTATATTAATATATATATAACAATGATTCAATATAAAATTCATGATTAAAACAGTCTGGATAGGACTGCCAGAAGAGATAGATCTTCGAATGTGTTTTATATTCTGACAGCTGATAAGAGTTCTAGGTGTGAATAATTTTTAGTGTCTCACTCTCTGAAATGCTAGAAATTTGGGGACTGACAGAAGATTTGGAGAGAGGAACAGAATTCTTATCTGGAGGTGCCATGCCTTCATTTTGACAACACGCATCACATATCTACATCCCTGCCCAAGCCAACTCTGGCATCTTCCTCCTCTGAAGGGCCTCCCTGTATTCTTTTAACAGGCAACAATATATTTTCCAATTAACTTCAGTTCCCATCTAGTGTAATTTCCAAAGCTTTAGATGTGTTAGTCTGTCACTGAACCTTACAGATAAGCATATTTATTACAGAAAGAAAGTTTTTGCAGATCAAAGCCCCTTTTATCAGATCTATGGAATTTTCTTCAGAAATTCAAGAATATGCATAGTGCATATGACCATAGTACATATGAACAGGTCACCTGATAGCTTCTGCCTCTGTAATGTATTCTAGATATTCTAGAATTCTCAACAACATTTCATGCCTTGAAAGTGCACAAAAACTCAAACCATAATTTAAGTGTCAGTATAGCTTTTAAGGTGCCCACAGATTCTTCACTGAAAAAAAGCATCATTGCTATTTAGATAACACCTTCCACTATGCATACCATATTTACAGGATCTCAGAAATTAAAATTTTACTCAAACAAGACAGTAACAGAAAGGCAGAAGAGAAACAAGAATATGTATGCATTCACTTAATATATTGAATTGTATGTAATTTTATCACAATTTTTAACCTCTACAGGAGCTTTACTATGTGCATGTACATGTGAGTCTTCTAGGGGGATGCAGACGAGGGCGTCGGAGACGCCCTGGTCCAGACCGCCACCGGAGTTCAGCCTCCGGACGGCGGCGCATCCCCGGCGAATCTAAAAGGACCGCCAAAATGGCGATCCTTTTAGATTCTGCCGAAAGTGCGCCCTAACAGCGGCGGGCACACTTTCGGTGGCTCAAATGCCGCGGCGAATGCGGTCGCCGTGGCGTGAGGGCAACCGGGAGTTGCCGGCCATAAGGGCAACCGGGAGTCTTCCGGGCCTCGGAGACGGCGCAATTAGCCGTCTGCCGAGGCCCTTCTATTAGATTTAACTCCTGGCCCAGGTGGAGGGAACATTTACATGAATATATAGTAGAATTCAAAGATATAGCCATATTAGTCTGTAGAATAGTATTTGGAGAGATCTTGTAGCACCTTTGAGACTAACTAAAGAAAGAAGTTGGTAGCATGCGCTTACATAGACTTGTCTACTTCCTCAGATGCATTAGGTCACATGAATATACAGTGTTTTATATGCAGCTCCTACATTGGTCTGAATCATTGCATTGCTACCATTTTTTGTTGGGTGCCTTTAAACAATTTCCAACTTACGGTGACCCTAAGGTGAACCTATCATGGGTTATTCCTGGCAAGAGTTCAGAGGGAGTTTGCTTTTGTCTTCCTCTGAGCCTGAAACAGTGCATCCACACTGCAGAAATAATTCAGGTTGACAACACTTTTAACTGCCATAGCTCAATGCTGTGGAATTCTGGGAATTGTAGTTGTTGTGGCAATAGAACTCACTGATAGAGAAGGCTAAAGTCTCACAAAACTACATTTCTCAGAATTCCATAACACTAAGCCATGACAGTTAAAGTGGTGTCAAACTAGATTATTTCTGCAGTCTAGATGCAGCCAAGGTCACCCAGTGGGTTTCTGTGTCCAAGCTGGGATTTGAACCCTGGTTCCAGAGTCATAGTCCAACACTCAACCCACTACAATACACTGGCTCTCTTCTACCGGGATATTAAGGGCCTTTCACATTACACATTTATAGCACAATGATTCCACTTTAACTGTCATGGTTCCTTCTTATGGAATCCTAGGCTTTGCAGTTCAGGGAAGGCTATTTAGATTTCTCGGCCAGAGCGCTCAAGTGCCTCACCAAACTACAAACTCCAGGATTTCATAGGATGTTGCCATGGCAGTTAAAGTGAAATCATAGCACCATAGTTGCATATTATGAAAAGACCCTAAGTTTTTGGAGCCCAGGTTTTCTGAGAATAGGGACAATGCTCTCCCTGTTTCTCTCTTCATCTAAAAGAAAGCAGAGCACAGGGGGAGGAAATACTGAGATACAAAATGCTCTCAATGTTGGGTTTTGTAATTTCTTATAGGAGTGATATGCAAAGTAAATAATGACTTCTATATTATTTGAAAAAATTGTACAACCATTAGACCATCAAAGATGTTAAATTTCCATCATTTCCTACTTTGCCAGCTTTATAGCTAGAGTTTAGCAGCTTAGTAAAAGAAAATCCAAGCCATACTCAGTTTTCATCCACATTATGATGATGTCAAAGGCCAATCTGCTGACTTCTCAGCAAATTGCCATTCAATTGCACATTCATTGCCTCTTCTATATGGCAGATGATGAGAAAATTGTCCTTGTGGTAATGCCAGAGAGTCTACAGCTTCAGGACAATTGTAGCTCCGTATGAAATTGCTACCTCTTGGGAGTTGCACTAGGAATTAGATGCTAATGTCTTTTCCCTGAGTTGCCTCTGTTTGGTAGAATGGGACCTAAAGACAGGAAAAATGACACAGCATTCTTTCTTTTTCTTTTTCCAGAATTCACCATCAGCAGCTTCTGCACCATTGTAGACATCATGAATTTTTCCAGACTACAAGTTTTGAGACTGGATGGGAATGAGATCCATCGGAGTAATGTGCCCTCGGATGCCCCGCTCTGCCTGCGATGGGCCAGCGTCATCGAGATTTAGCCATTGCCTTTCTTTATTTTCTTAAACATTCAGAACAAGGCCAAATCCTTCCTACGATCACATGGGGGTAGGCCTACATTCTCAAGTTAACATTGCTTCATTTGATTTGGCTTCTGCAATTGTATAATGTAGAAAAGACTGATAACACGATCCAACAGATGTGGCATATACTAGCCAGTCTGGTGATGACACATATATGCAAGAAAAATCTTTGACCACCTTTACCCCACCTTTTCTCTGTTCTCCCTCTCTCAACAGCCCAACCATACCTTCCTCTTATTGAGATACTGTCAGGCAATGTTTCTCTCTCCTTTTGTGTGGGTAGTAGAGAAGATTTTTGCTGTTGCTGCTGTTGTTGTTTCATTTCACATGCATTGCTTTAGAAGTTTGGTGCCTTTGGGCTTTGTTCTTCCATGTAGGAGGGACATAAAAAAAAGAGCATGTGTATATGTTGTTGGAAGGGGGCAGAGAAGACTGAAGTCAAACAAAATGAAAACAGATTAAACAATTGGTCATACAGCAAGGAACATTTAGACAGACAGGGTGAGGAAAGAGCAAAAGAAACTGGAAGAGAGAGAAAATTACTGACAGGGTATAGGAGCCAAATTTTCAGATGGTTTTCAAGCATGAATATGGCTCCCCTGGTATCAAGCTGCTGGTTAAGTAGCATCCCTCTACCATTTTCTCTCTCTGTTTATAATTTGTTTTCTTCCATATTGATTATAAACACACACAAATAAATGAGTGAGAAATCAAAAGCCACACACTCATTCAAACACATGTAATAACATAATTCATGATACAGTATATCAAATTCTACCATGCAATTTCCAAATCATAACACTACCGTAATCAAAATCTTCATCATGATTGCTATGGAAGGATACAAGATAAATGTACGGTACCCCAAATACTTTCACAACTCCAGAGAGTGTCATTTCTCTTGTTACTTTGTTACTCTCACACTTTTTAAAATGTTCAACAACCATGTTTTAATGTCAAGTCAGTGACTTGGTGGCAGAAAGATTTTGAAAAATGCTTCCATTTGGATTATTAAGCTATTGCTTTTAGATAGATTAAAAAGTGCAATTGCTGAATCAGTTACTTAAGTCCCCCAAATCATTTATTGTTTCTCACAACTAGGCAAGTCCATTATATGTGTGGGAAACCTCTATTCACACTACATTTGTGTGGGTAGAAAAACATTCAGAGGAGAAAAAGGAATTTTAATGGATGTGTACATTTATGATGGTATAGAACCATGCTTGGAGCTTTGGATACATTGCATATTATTAACCTCTTTCAGCCTTGACTGGAAATATTTTTTTCAGGCCACTGCTATAGAGCAGTTCAGTTTATTAATCAGTGCTTGCAAAATACAGAATTTCTTTCCATGTGCTGCTTCAGTGCATATAAAGAATGCTCCTGTTATTGAAGTAACATTCCCAGCCAGTCATAAAATGTAATGTGAGCCAAGTCAGTATTAAAGTATCTGGCGAGACCCCACCATTATTCAGCAAGGTATTATTTCAGCAGCATATCATGAAAAACTGAGAGCTTTATGGTTATACTATTCTATAAGTGCCCTTTTGGGTATACCAATCCAATTCAAATCCAATCCAATTCATTTTTGCAACAGAATCCTATTCTAGCTTCCCATGTTTTAATTGCATTAGTTGTGATTTTTTTGCTTGGCTGTAGAAGTGTCTGGGCTGCATTTTGTGCACTTGATAGCATCCAAGCCTGCCCCAAGAATGTACATCACTTTTCCTCTTAGAGCTCTCATCACTTAGCCCTTGAATTCCTTTGTTTCTTTATGATTCATGGAGCAAAGGGTAGGAGCCATAAAAGAAGGAGTGAATATTATAGAGATCCTGAGACATTCACAATGGCATCAAATTCTTTTGTATTTAAAGTGCATGCTGATAATATAAAAGAAATATGTAGAAGTATGAACTGTAGATATTATTACTGATCAATAAAATTGTTTTTATAATTGCATGGAATGCCTTGAAAACTGACAATTTCACAGATTAGATTTGAAACATGTGGTGTTAATAAGAGGAAAGGGTAGGGTCCACAACATGGGATTTTGGAAGAACTTCCACTTGTACTTCTAAGGGTGTTTCTGCACAGCACAGATACATTTAATTATTCTGGTCATTCTCCATAAGCCACAGGAGACCCTACTACACATAGCATATGTCACAGCGGAACAACTGCAGAAACTCCTAAACTTCACAATCAGTTTTCTAGAGGAAAGGACTGATAAATGTTTCTCATGCTCTTGCTTTAATGTTTAAAGTGCCAAATTGGAAATGCAATCATGGGGAGACACACCTCAGAAAGGAACTAGTTGTAGCCCTTAGGACCATAAAATCTGATTTTTTAGGAAAAGATGTGAAAAGTCACACCCTTCCTTCCAATTAAACTCTCTCCAATCATTATTCATACTGAAACTCTAAAAACAGAGGCAAGGCTCAGAGTCATCATTTTATATAGATGGTCTTCAGGCATCAAAGGGAAGCACAAGATCTAGCAAAGTACAGTTCCAGTTTCTGAATTCCATTAAAAAGCCCTAGTCAGTGGTTCCAGCTTCACTGTTAATCTGTTGTATAGCCTTCCAAGCATTTTATAAATCCAGCCCTTCTCACTGCCGCCACATCCTCCCTTGAGTTTGTTAATCTGTTTGAACAAGGGATTTCATATTATATGGGTCTTTTTAAGTGGGAGCAGGATAGCAACTTCAGATGTTGATTTGGGTACACCCCTTCCCCCTAAATTCTAATTCAAATCTGAATTGAGGTGATGGTCTCCCAGTAAGAGGCTATTTCTGAAAAGGAAAAGCCATGAATCTATTTAAAAATACACTGATAGTGCAGTCCTATCTATTTATACTTAGGAGTATGTTCCATTGAGTTCAGTTGGGTTTACTCCCAGGTAAGTATGTACAGAATTGCTCCCTTAAAATCACATCAGGTCTGACATACACAGGGGGGGAAAATCTGCAGTGTAGACCTTCAGTTCATTTGAAAAATTAAACAAATAGAGCAAACTCAGGAGTAAGATTTATTTCCTGTCAAGGTCTACATTACATCAGTTGAAAGGGAAGTTCAGAAGGAAGGTTTTCTTTTTGGCTAAATACTGGCTATGCTAGTTGGCAGATTCAGGGAATAACAGTGGGGAAAAGTAACCTTTCTGAGCACTGGTTGGAACTTGTTGTGGTCCTCATTCTAGCAGTGGGTGGGAACAGAGGCATAAATGTACCCCTATATGTGATATTTAGCCTTACGATATATGATTTTTACCTGTGTTAAATATGTAACAAATGGAGAATTTGCATCCTATTATCTCCTACACATGCAAACTTCTTTCTATACATTTTATATTACAAGAACAGAAGAGGAAAGAATAAACCATATCAACAACCCAGAGCATGACCTGTTAGGGTAGATGGCCTCAGAAGAATCCAGACCATGAGTGGAGAATGTATGGGTCTCTAGATTAGAGTGTACCTTTTGAAGGATGATCCCCAGAATCCTTTAGCCTAAAACAGGGGTAGGCAACCTTTCCCCTTTAAGGGCCGAGGGACTTCAGCTCCCAGAATCCCAGGAGCTATTGGCCAACATGGGACTATTGGCCAACATGGCTGAGGCTTCTGGGAGCTGAAGTCCCTCGGCCCTTAAAGGGGAGAGGTTGCCTACCCCTGGCCTAAAATATCTTTAAAAGCTCTGCTCCAGATGTGGTTGCACTGAGAAACAAACATGCACAGCACTTGCCAGTATTACCAGAGATGAGCAATCCTGGGAATTCATCCAGTAAGATCTGAAAGGCAACATGTTGCCCACCTCTACTCTAAAGGTCTGAAATGAGAAACTTGAAGATCCACAGGCTGAGCAAGGTATATTTCTATGTCAGTTTCTCATACAGCTAAGTCCTATCCAGGCTAAAATTAAATGGGGAGAGGGGAGTAATGTCAGCCATCTTCGTTACCTTCCACCTGTAGA